CTTTAGCCTGTCAAATAGCAGTATGCTGCACAGTAATGACTTAATTATCAGCTGGCGAGAAGGCTGGGGAGACATTGAGAGCACAGCTCCACTGTAGCCTCTGGAGACCACATGTGTCCATGGAGGGACAAAAACAAAAACAAGAAAAAACTTCAGCGGATGAATAGATTGACCTGCAGTGCACAGGGTCAAAGCAGCAGTCCAGAAGGTTTATATAGCTCCATTACCAAACAGTTAAAATAACTGGTTTATCTATGTAATCAGACGTCAGAGGGAATTAACAGCAGAAGGCATAGGAATACACAGAGCCGGGGACTGGGAAACACTCCCTTACTCTTGTTCTCATTTCCTACAGGTAGACAATAATGGAAGCTAATTTATCAGAGTCAGGCATCATGTGATCACCAGTTGTGATACTGCACAACACTGGGCCAAGGAAAAGTTTCTAAATGCATGTTAAAAGTGTTCTTTGGTTTCTAAATCTATATAAACAAGTGCTTAACACAAGCTTCCTCTGGAAGTAGACAGAAAACATCTAGCTTACGTTTTGAATCACAGCCACAAGATGGCGCCTTTCATGAACTTCCACTGACATCATTTCCCAAGCACATTATTTTTGCCTCCTATAAACTCCTCACAATATGCCTGGAAACCACAACTGCTTATGACTATACTGTATTCTTTAAACGTGGTACTTGTGTTGAAACTGGACCTGGCACTGCAATTTGCAGGCATATTTTCTTGAAGCTGAAGAGGAAGACAACACTGCATTCGTACTAAATGAAATTAGAGTCCATTTCTTTGTAGGAGTCACTCTTCATTGATTTAACTTGTTGCAGGATACGACACCTATCTATATAGTATAAATAATGTCCACTTTACAAAAACATCACAAAGTGAGTAATAACTGATCTTAACACCATATTACAGTGCATGTATTTCATTAAACAGACAACAACTAAACAGTCTTAAAAGTCTTATTTAAATAATTAGAGGGGAGGAAGTATCCCTACTTGTATTCTGGAACAATACATCGCTATCGTTATATCGATAATGCTTTGTAATGCAGCTCTTATGTGTGTGCTCACACATTGTATACAGGGTGAGTGAGTTTGTCAACCCATGGCTGGTCAAGACTATGTGTGAAAGACAAAGCGGGTTAACCAGGATACTTGTAAGTCAATGGTGGTTCATGCATGCTGCTCCGTCCAGTATGTGCCACACAATAACAGAGCTATGGCCAGTAATACCCTCTCTCCATCCGTTTCAGTGTGGGCTGGGACTTCTATACAAGCTCTGTAGACTCATTACCATGGACACACAGACACAGGCACGTGCTGCTCGGAGAGTCTTTTTCGTACTGGACAGAGCTTAGAATTCCATAGTGGAGCGCAGCCTATTCCATCCTAGTGTCTGAAAGCGCAACACACAGGGAGCACAGACATCACGGGTCTGATGTCAGCTTGTCGGTGACCAGGAATAAACCCCACTGGGAACCACAGAGGTGGCCTGTACACAGACGTGGTGACGCCACCCCAGAACTGCCTTCTGATAGTCAGGGCTTCTGATTCGTGTCAGGAAGGACGGCCAGTCAAATGTTAGGGGAGTCTGGGGTGAAACCCTATATAACACAGTAAAACACCCCAGAAAAGCTGTCTGGCAAGGATCTGCAAATACTATACATTCTTCAGTCTGAAGGTCATTTCTTAACTGAAAGAACTAAAAACCAATTATTTAAGAATGCCTAGTGACTGTCATGACCTTCACAGAGAGGCTGCAGGTCTTTTGTACCCTTCACCACACTTAGGATAGTGACAGCTGTTGTTTGATGACAAATGGTATGCGATCGACCACAAATTAAAAGGACTCCCATCCATGGGGTAACATCCTTCGTAGGTACAGAACCCTCCATACTGGTGCCATATAGACATAATTCTGTACATAAAGCAAAAACTGAACTGGAATCCAAAGCAGTGGAGGTCTCTGAAACACAATATAAGGATCAGAAGTGATAGCACCCGCTTTAAATCCATTGTGTAGATTTGCTGATTAGAAAGGCCTTGTCGATGTGTTTTGAAACCAAACCACATTGTATTTTTTACGAGGACTGTTAGAAAAAAGCAATAAGATCAGTCGTGTTATTATCTGGTAAGCAGACCGGATGTTAGTGAGGTGTTACAGTTTTAAGAAACCCATTTTGTTTCTTTTAGACCCCAAAATGATGGGAGTCAATCTGTGACATTTTGGGCCCCTGTACTTGGAAAATGGATTAGGAAGCACTGACCTGGAGTATAAACATTTCAGATAACGCTTAATGTTGAACATAAAACCTGTATCATTCTACTGTAATGCAACCCAACCCTGTAATTTGAGCAAAAGTGCAGGATGGGCCAAATTGCTTCTGTAGACTTCTTATATCCTTATATAATGTTCCTGAGAGAACAAGATCAATTCAGTCGATCAATGCTTGAGCCATTCATGTCAGGAGAGTTTCGGTGTAGCAAAAAAAAGCTATGAGAGTTCTCGCTGTGAAATGAGCAAAGGTGTGTATTAATCATTCAGTCGCAATTTGATGTTTTCACATTATCAGTGCAATTCAGTTCCACGATTTTGTGACTGTGCTGCTTTCCTTCTAAAAAGCTTACATGTTCAATTTCCTGCTGTAGTATTTTCATGTCAAAGGGCAGTTCTGAATATTTGCTGTTGCACCAGTGCGAGGGAGTTGCTGCAACTGATGAGAAAACAGGATCCCACTAATCAATACATCAAACATTGAAACTAGAACAGAAAAGACCCGAATGAAAGCAGACAAGGCATATGTGCTGGGAGCAGAGTTTAAAACCTGGAAAAGGAAACAGAACATCAGAGGACCAAGTAATTAATTGCTTAAACTAAATTGCATTAGCTGGCGATTATGATGTAATGAAATCACTGAAACCTGGCAGACAGCAATACATAAATAGTGGATCTTGGGAGAGCATCCTGGAGAAACTGGAGACGGAATGGGAGGTGTAGCTTGGCGGCTTTCAGACACAAGGATATTCATTCCGAAGAAGAGAAGCGCTACTCCCTCCGGGACTTACAGGAATGCTCTGCCCCGACAGGCTGAAGGAACTGAGCCTCTGTGTAAGAGAAGACTGCGAGACTCCCGGTCCAAACTCTGCAAAGACCATGATAAGGGCACCCCAGTGGACTTCTTCAGAATCCACAGGGAAAAACGACCCAACGGAAGTGCATTTCAAAGGGAGTACAGGAGGCAACAGGCACTCTCTCCACAAAGGACTGTGGGGGTGTGGCAACAAGCTGCCCAGCCATGCTGCTGAAGGCCGTACCCTGTATATATCCAGAAATATACAGTATAGATGAGTTGTTTGGATCAGTTGCCTACCAAACAGGCTGAGCGGTCCGAACTAGATTTAACCTTTCTTACTTTCTAATGCATTAATATTTAATGAACAAAAAGGTGTGGGGACTTCTCATATCTTGTACACTCAGAGATTCCATTAATAAAACATGAAGCTTATGACCCATCATTTTTTATTAGTTTGCAATTACATTACATTAGTTTTACAATGAATTAATATTTTTATTGTTTTTGTAATCATTTAAATCATTACATGACTGAATACTGCTGTTTTGCTTTAAAAGATATTAACAGGTATTATTTTCATCATTTTTTACTAATCGCTTTATGTAATGGGAATGATATAAGAAGAAAATATTATAAAGTAAAGATGCTTTATTTTAATCTATAAAATGTTATAAATACTACTTTACTCTTAAAAAAATCAATGAATTAGATAACCAGGATACAAATCAATTTATAATAAAATTATACACAAATCAATGGCTTTTTATCAAACAACATAAACAGTATGAGTACTAAAACAACAGGTTAAAAAGCCAGTTAATAAGGCTATTGAATAACTAGTAAGATAAAGAAAAATATATTTCCACAACTCATACCTTAAACAAAGAAAAAACACTTGCAGCATAAATGTGAAACAGACTCATTTTCTCACAAATCTGTAATCACCCCAAAATCAGAATAAATTGCGAGAGGTAAATTAGAGGTAAACGGGGGTTACTTTAAAAGAAAAACTGGGAGGGTGTACAAAAAATTGGAGAGTGTACTTTAGTAAGGCAGCAATAAAATAACGCAAACCACTGTGTATTAATGGAGACTGCTGTACACGACTGATAAACCTTAAGGACAAATCATTACCCACACTACAATATTTATTATTAACACATTTTCAGTGAGAGCCTAGTTATGGGTGACAGGTCTTGCGAATTCCACTTTTAAAATCATAAAATACTAATATTCAGTAACACATTAAGCATATTTACAGCTGGCATCTCAAAAGCCCTGTGATTTTCTTTTTCCTGGCTTGGACACAAGTCCAATATATACCTGTACACACTCTCAGCAAATCACAAACGTATGAAGAATATAGTCGTCGAAGACAAGAAAGCATTCCCACCATGGTTAATTCTACAACACTTTGAAAGAGATGTCATTGTCAGGTGGGCAATCAGCGGAGAGGGACAGTATGTTGACTTTGCATGCTGAGAAGGGTGGATGAGCAGTTTGTCACAGAGCAGGCTGACTTTGCACAGCTCACACGTGCGATGAGAGCCAGCAGGATCGTGCAGTCCCGGTTCAGGAGGGACAGGGGGACTGCTGGTTTGCTTGCCAGCTCAGCCCTGAACGACTTCAATAGCTGGTGCTTCACTCAAACCCTGAAACCCTGCAGACACACCGGCCCTCCTGGTCCTGGACCAGACACCCCCCTCTAACTGAAGGCCGACAGCGACATCGGGGGAGGAAGAAAGGTGTTCACAGCGGGTTCGGAAAGCTCGGGCACATCAGGTGATTGTGTAATTGGAACATACAGTATGGAGAGATGCAAAGGAACAAGTAATAGGTTTATTCCATGCTGAAAAAAAGAAGAAAGAGAACACAACGTTTCGGCCGTGGAGCCTTCTTCAGGTGCTGACGCAGCTACCCACCTGAACTAGTATGGAGAGATGCAGAGAGAACCTACCGGAACAGTAAAAACGCCGGGAGGCCATAGTCAGTCAACTTTTCTGAATACTGTGACAACATTCTTTGTCCCGATACCTACAGCTGATTTAGGAAACCTTTTCCAAAATGTAATCTACAGTATATTAGGAGGCCTAAATGCACAGTTGTTGAAGACAGTGATCTGATCCCTAACGATAATCAAGGAGTTGGGTCCTTTACGCCTTCACCTTGATTTATCAGTGAAATGTTTTACAGGAGACACCTAATTTGCAACCAAATATCAAGAAACACAAGGACCCCATCAGCTCGCAGGCTTGTTGGTTGAAATTTCATACTCCAACATGGTGAAAAAACTAAACATGTGGCACAAAAAACAACCACTGAATTTCTGAAGCAAAGATGCAACTTTTTCAGTCACTGGATGTGAACTGAGATGCCGTGGGCAGGCCTCAGCCAAATGTCATCACCCCTCCACTGTGGAGCAGCCATAGAAATTCCGCAAAAAACAACAGGCAGAAAAAAACAAAAGATGCCAAGAGTGCTCAAATGGAACACAATGAATAAAAGATTTTAAAAGATCCACAAGGAGAGCATATAATATATTTAAGAAAATGGTGTGAATATTTTTTATTCTATGGTACACTTATTTAAATAACTTTTTAATAAAAACTTGCCACTTCATGAAAATCTATTATTTATCTTTAATATTTAGCTTTGTAATAAAATTCATTATTAAAATATTTTTTAATTGAATTAAGCACATTTTTTTACAAAAGAATAAACATGTTTTGAGATTTAACCGATCTTCACTAGACTCACTATGCTCATCTACAGTATTTATGAACAATGTTCACCATTATTCTTTTGTCAGGTCTGAAGTTTCTTTGGTAACGGTTGATAGTCCAACAGTATTTAAATGCATATGCACTTACAAGCACACTTTACTTTTTAATGTCCAATTTTTATGTTTTTTTTTTAAACATTCCATTTCAGTGGTCTTTGACGTCAAAAGTCATGAGACCTTCTGTTTGGAAATCTCCTGTCCAGGAACACCCACAGCCTGGTCTGTGATGACTTTGTAAATGTCTGGCCCGGATCCCTGTGGTGGTGATGGCAAAGGAGTTTCAGGAGTAGCTGAAAATAAGAGTTGTGCTGCATTATTAACTTGAGAGATGGCACAAAAGAAAACCTCCAGGTTCTCAGACTAAAACACCTTTTCCAAAGTCTGAGAAAACACTTTAAAACGCTTACTTTCAGGAGCAAAATGGAAACATACATACAGTATATACTGGTCTAAAAATAGTATACATATTAATTCAATCATTTTACATTTTATTTTAAAATGTAATTGTATTTTCCAAAGACATTCTTTATGACAGTAACACTCACGTGAGGCAATCTCAAACCACAGCTGCCGGATTTACAGATCGGTTCACTTACCAATCTGTTCTGGATGCACAGGGGTGGGGAGTGTGCTTATTAGAACAGTCTGCCCAGTCAGGGGGTCCTGAGCGACGTGTGGATGGACAGGGTGGTGGAAGTGTGTGGGCTCTGCGGCTGTCCCTGCGCAACGACAACCAGCACACCTGTTACTCTTAATCACGGAGATCCGAGCTTCTTGAGTACCAGCAGAACACTTGCACTGTGCAGGTCGCTCACACGTATGATGTTGCAATTGGCGTTGTAGGGCTTTAGTCAGCCAAAATGGCAGTAGGGGCACTTACACAGCATGCCACCCTTGAATGGGGAAATCGACTGCAGAACAAAAATTCAAACACAAACTCTTGAAAACAGCGCTTCACAGTGAATTTTGTCGTTTTATAACCGCATGCATCTGACTAGCTATGAAACTAGCTTCAACCACATGGTTCATTCGGCCATGTGGTTGAAGTCGAAACTTTGGCTTCTTTCTAGAAACTTGGTGAGCTTGGTGAGATCCATGGCTTAATTAACTACTAACTTCCACAAGGGCGAGATGCGTTGAATGACTTCCTTTCCGTTTGTATCCTTTCTTGTGTTCTTGCAAGAAAATGTCAAATTGGTCCAGTTCAGCCAGCACTGAGCTCATCTATAGTGCATTGTTAAGAAAGGAGTTTGAAAGAAAAGCCCACAGACACTCTGACCCACCAGGACCACGACTGGACACCCCTGCTCCTTTTAACTTAAAGTTGGTGTCCTTTAGTACCAGAAGGAGAGACACATTTACTGATGTACGCTGACACATCAGAACCTTTGCTACATCTGCAGACACCCTCAAACATCCATGCAGACACATTAAGCAGTGTCAGAATTAATACATTTAATCCAGGGTCCTCTGCCTGTGATTAATTTTAGTCTTAAATACACCTGCACAGTCCTGGTGACCCACATGCCTGTTAAGTTTTACTCCCACCTGAGCCCTTCATTGACTTAAGAAAGACAAGATTAATTTGAAGAGTTTGTTCCCAGCTCTTAAACATGCTGGAGCGTACAAAACACTTACAAAATGAAAATGAAATAAAATCCCCAACCTGTGACTAGAAACAAAAGGCAAACATTCAGTTGAAGCTACTTCCTAGATCAGGTAAGATAAGATAAGAACAGATAAGATCACTTTATTGGCCATTTACAATTTCTTGCATGAGGCTCTCCATGAGACACACAGACGGAGAGAGAAGCTGGGGGTCAGAGCACAGGGTCAGATATTTATACGGCGTCGCTCGAGCAGTTGGGGTGAAGGGCCTTGCTCAGGGGCCCAGCGGAGTAGGATTCCTCTGCCGGCCGCGGGATACAACCTGGCAACCTCCTTAGCCACCGCCCCGCCCCAAGAAGGATTTCGGGCTCAGGTTCCACCAAACTGTGAACTCGGATCAGTGGATTCAAAGTCCAGAGTGCTAACCATTACACCACGGATCCGACAGCAACTGATAACAACAGGTACGGCTTCAGTTGTCTAACGAAGGTGGGCTGGAATGGAAACCCGGTGGTGTGCGGGGCACCAGGACTGGGGACCGCGGCCCGAGAGCAACGCCTTCGAGGACTCGGCTCGTATCCCCGGACGTACCTCCCAGCAGCATCTCCTGCAGCAGGCTGTCGACCTTGGCCAGCCCGAAGAGCTTGACGAACTGCAGCTGCTCGACCATCTGCCAGGTGATGCTCTGCAGGGTGGGCAGCAGCAGGAGCAGCTCGCCGAACCGGCCGCGGGAGTCGTACTGCCGGTCGTTGATGTAGTCCTCCAGGCTCATCTGCACCTGGCAGCGCATGCTCTTGATCTTGGAGGGGTCCCCCAGGCTGCGGGCATCTGGGGGCGCAAGAGGAGACACGGGCGCAATCACGGGGAGTTGAAATAAAGATGTAAATGTTTGTGTTTTATTCAATTTACCTCTCAATTACATCTTATTGATAACTTGTGTGTGTGTATATATATATACACACACAGACATTACCTGGGTCAAAGAAAACTATTGCCTTCAGGGATGCATATTCATTGTCGTCAATCTGAATCTCCTGGAATGGTGTGACAAGCTCATCCAAAATCCTATTAGCTACTCTGCAGATTTCTGCTTCCGGACAATTCCGATGGATAATGTGGTCGTTACCTTGGGGAAGAAAAAAAAACTGTTTCTACTGAAACTTTAAATTATTACCTATGGAAACCGATGCTGGTGCATTTCGCAGTGAAATGTTTCTTGAGCCGTACAAAACGTACTGCAATATCACAACACACTAAAAACATGAGGGGACCCCTGCATTCATCTGCTCAAGGTAATGCCTGTTAAAAAGGACCAATAACTTAATAAAGTCACTGGAAAAAGTATAAGTAACTGTGCTATTATTTATTGTTTATCTTGGGTGAGGTATGATAACATTGGCAATCCTTTCAAGTAAAAGGTTGCATGGCTTCTTGAGAAATTATTTTATAATCTCTTCACGGTAAATGATGTTTTTAATTCTTCTTGTTATCGTGGGTTTTAGCTTAGGTGACACAGATGGCCATTAGTTCCTATACCAGTGACCATTTCTATTATTCTAACTGCAGATCATGAAAAAACATGCTCAAGCAAGGTTAGCTGAATGCACTTGTGTGACCAGACCAATGGAAAAAAACGCTGACAATTCAGTTTCAAGCTGTCTTATCATCCTCAGATCAATCATTACAACATCGGGTACATGAGGGATCTGGGAGTTTAGACTTGAAGAGAAAACTTAAAAAACACAAGCTGTAACTGCAGGGCCACATGTACACACCTACTGTAGTACAGTAACTGAACACTTTATAGCCTGTAAAGTGGCATCAGATGTGTAACCACTAAGAATCACTTTTAGACACTTGGGCACTTTCAGATGGACACTCTACCAGATCATTAAGCATCAATACATGCTATGTAAGCATTGCAAAAGAATGCATGCTTTTGAAGTTGTTTTTAATAGCTCTGGAGGACTAAACGGTTGAATAGTGTTTTACCAAGCAAAAGGATGTCTTTGTAAGGCACTGATCTCTTGGCCACTCCCAGAATGAGATGCTCCCCGGCATGAGCCCGTAATAAACTCACCTGGAATTAGAAAGTGAGACTCAGACGAACTCTCACACCAGAATTACACTTTCATCCTGCTCTGACACTACAACACTAAAGCCAAACAACTAAGCTTTATCATCAACTACAGGGACAGCCACACTGAACCAAGATTTGCCCAGATTATAGTTGACGAATCCATACATTATTTTGAAAAATAAAATATAGTTGTATTTACTATAACATAGCAAAAAGAAGATCTACTAAAACACTTAACACTTAATACTATATTAAAGGATAAAATGCAAATAAATACAATTTGAAAATAAGATCTTAAAGTCCTATTTTTACTATGAAGACTGTGACTGAACATTAATAAGCGCACAGCATGTTAGTTCATTACAAATACAATGTAATTAGGTGAGGTGATATTTGTAGCAACATTTCATTACAATCTTTGTTTACAAGGTAACATTCTGCCTCCATCAGCATTTTTAAAAAGCAGCTACAGGGCATTTACCTGTTGTAGAGTAACCAGCTGGAGTCTCAGCGCTAACAGATAATGCTCTGAAGTGTAAATGTGATGTTTGTAGATAGGTCATTAATTGACAGAAGTAGATAGGAGCCTAATTAACCAGATTTTCACTTTTTTCCCAAGAGCAAATATCATACCGCAAAACATGTTCAAAAAAGATGATTCACTTTGGCAGCATTAATAATACTGAAAAGGAGTAAAGATAACTTGCCTGATTTGTGGTCATTTACCATTGAATATTACATATTTTTAAATATTAAATCGTTAAAATGTGAAATATGTATGAGACATTTAACCAAGGTCCTGACTAGTTGGTTATTAAAGATCCCATGATCATAAGAGTAGGTTTGTCAACCAGGGCGTTCTGGTTAGATTCCTCTCCGGGGGGAATGCAGAAACTAACCTCCCTAAAGTTCACTCTTAATACAACTGGGGGAGGTGTTTCTCTCTACTCCTCTTGCTCTGCTGTGGAAAAGTGAGGCAATGAATGGCACCTACCAAATCTCTGGTCTTAATTCTCAATGGCCTTTGCATTCTGAAACACCCACGTGTGTGATAAATGTGAGGGAAAAAAGAGTCAGCACAGCGTAGTCATTTAAATACAGACGCCCACCATCTCCAACGACTAATCTATTAAGTGTTTGTTACACTAGGCTTATTTGACAACTGTGTTTTTCTGTGTGCATTAGACACTCCTTCATCTGTGTAAGCAGGAAATTACATATCTGTTGAATTACCAAGTTTAGCAAACAGAGGGCAAATCAATTTTTGATCCACCTTGGGGATATCTGGAACTCTGGGGTTCGCCAACGAACTTATATTTTCTGTTCTCTTAAATTTGGTGTGGAAAACATACTGAATTTACAAAGCCCTGACTGTAAATTCAGGATACTAATGCTGGATGTGACTCCGGCAAATCTGTCCTTTTGAGCAGGCCTGTAGGACATGAAATTCAGCTTTGAGGGATTGACCTTGAATACCTACTTTTTGAGAATAAGATGTACTGGAACGTCTAACTGAAAAATTAGATTCAATCTTAACCGAAGGACAGGAGCAGTCCATAAAAAGCACAGTTGCTTATAAACAGTTTTGCCAATTAATTGAGCTAAGCCTTGCAGATGTATTACGTACTAAATGCTGTTATAATGACTATACACTATGCATTATTTCTTAATTCCATATATAGATAGTCATGCAACATGAAACTGCTACTCTCATTACCAAAGCAATTTATCAAAATCACTGAAGAATTAGTGCAGATGGGACCGAATATGAATAAAGGTTATTAATATCATTTTAAATCGTTACCTGATCATCAAGTGGCAATTCACAGAAAGCTGGGATGTATTTAGCCCACTCTACCAGCACGAGCAGCTGCTGCTTCATAGAATCGCACACATCAGTGATGCTGGCAGTCTTCTTGGCTGATATATCTGTGGGAACTCCTGGGCTGGGCAAACTGATCTATCCAGAAACGGATATAGAGTTGAAATTACGTCACCATTCAGGAAACACTCCTTTTTTCACTGGTCGTTAAAAGTTCCCAAAGCAACCTCCAATAAGTATTCAGGCGGATAATTGAAAAAAAAATTAAATGACGTTATTCATGCTTCAGTGGAGACTAATGGTCATGCAAATTAGCAGCTGTCATTTCACGACAAAGTCATTAATAATCTTAACATTCTGGGAAATGCGTTCCCTAAAAAAGGGGAATAAATAAACAGGCAAATTGTTGCCCTGCTCCCAATTATAAAGAGTATAATATTTTCACAGCTATCATTTAAAGCATATACTTTATGTACAGAAGGCTAGATTTGCAGCAGATACTGTATCTGGACAGATTTCTTTCCTCTTGGCTCAAGCTCTTTTCTTTTTCTGGTCAATCAAGGAGAACTTACCTGAAGTACGGGCACCTGTATTCACATTGGACAGAGGTTTCTGACCTAAGGCTTGGAAAAGCAACGAGTAAGCTGATGCCCTCCCGGCCTTCGAGGAGCCACAGGAAATAACAAACACCTCATTACTCAGAGATGTCCCAGTTGGGTGATGCTTGCAGACTTATTTGTCAGCAGGAAATGAGCACACATATCCCGATATCAGATAGTAAGACTTACAAGATCATCAAGCTAGAGGATCAATGCGGTTTTCTCCAGACGTCGGAGTCGAACTAAAATTTGGATTTTGAAAAGGGAAACTGTGCGTCTGGGAGCTGTGACTGGCATCTGGCCTGGCAGGGGCTGATCACCGGCGCCCGTCTTACCTGCCGAGAGAGACTTTCCGCCTGCGTCAGCACAGTGATGGGCGGCAGGCTTTGGGCCTCGTACGCGTTTCTCCTGGAGCTGATGCGGTCTCTTTCATTCTGTACGGCTGGAAGGCAAGCCAGCTGTTTTCATTTCTTGAAAACCAACAGGGCCCCCGATTCACTGCCCGTGCACTGTTCTTTCATTTCTACTCAGTGAAGCTTACCCTCCCTAATGGGCAAATGGTCATTAGCACAGTGTTGTCTTAACACAAAACTAATCAGGAGAATTATCAGCTCCACTGAATGAGTAAGGGGTTTCCTTTGTCTTCTCTTTCTGTCTGCAGGTATGAATCGTGAACACTAAAAAGGAAATTATGTCACTGTTTATAAATAATTGATGCTCTACATACTGTAGTACTGGCTACAGCAGGTTTTTAGTTTTAAAGGCTCCGATACTGCATACTACAAGCCATGTCACTAAGTTGAAAAAGTAAAGCTAAAATACCAACAAAAGGCTTATTCTGTGTCATACCGAAGAATAAACAAGTTAAAAATAGAGTATAGGCTTTTAAAATTTAATTATTAGTAATTTCATTAGGACTGTTTAGTAGTTATTGTCAGTTTTCCCATTTTCTTCTGTTGGCCATTAAAAAAAGAAGTGCTTTATTATTATTAGTTCATCTTTAAGTGCCTTTCTCTTCTTCTTACATTAGACCAATAACATTGAACCATTTCCTCTCATTAGGTAGGGCCCAGCTGAGTTGCTGATGATAAATACCAGCTATGCAGAAAGAAAAAGTAAAACTTTAACCAGCAGTTATGTGGACAACACTATACAGGAATAAGAGGTGAGTGAGCAAACACATGATCATAAGTCATAAACTACAAAGCCAAGGTTATGCTTGCCATAAATAGCACACTGCCTGTATAATTCACATCATATTTCAAGCCAAACACTGCTTTTCGGGGGTAAAGGTTTTCTATGCTATAACTCCTTCCTGACAAAAAATAAATATCTATTACTTAAAAGAAAAGAGGATAATTTAAAACTATTACCTTCTTTCTTCATTCCTGCATGAAAACATTTATTCAGTCTGCAAGATCGACACTGATTTCTTTTGTCTTTGTCAATAACACATTGTCGATTGAACCTGAACAAAGGGAAAAATAATAGCTTAGAGCTTAAATTCCTGTTCTAAAAGGTCACATAGGACTGGTCTTTAGAGATACTTAGTACTTCTTAGATCTACTCACAGCACTCTTTATGAAAACAATTATTCTATATGGTCCTTTCAGCCAGTGCTAATGGGTCACATAATTCTTTACATATGCAACAGACTCAAAACATCAATGAAGCAGTAGTTTAGAGAAACGTCTGTTTAAACAAAGTTCAAAACATTTATTACCCATCTCTATTTTTTATCCAATCCTAATTATATATTTAAAGCTAATCTAATTTACATAATCACCTCCTAAATTGCAAATATGATAAAACACATATAGCAGTAACAGTAGTGGCAGTATCATTTTATTCCAAAAAACATATTGGTCACTTTCAATTTGTGAAATCATCAGAAGGTCATGCAGGATAAGAATAATGATTCCTTACCACACATCAGCTCTCAGTGGAAAGGAGAACAGAGTGATGAACCCAATTCATAGATGGGGATTATTAGGAGGTAAGGACCAATGGGAAATTTGGCCAGGACGCCGGTGTTACACCCCTACTCTTTTTGAGAAACGTCCTGGGATTTTTAATGACCACAGAGAATCAGGACCTCGGTTTTACATCTCATCAGCGGGATGGCGCCTTTTCTCAGTATAGTGTCCCCGTCACTATACTGGGCCATTAGGACCCACTCAGACCGCAGGGTGAGCGCCCCCTGCTGGCCCCACTAACACCCGTTCCAGCACAAACCTTAGCTTTCCCAAAGAGGTGTGAGCCTGGTACTGGTGCTGCTGCCAGTTGTGAGTTGCAGGGTGATATGATACTTATTGTCTTTATGAAATAAAACTATGTACATTATTTAGTGCCTGAAAAAACACCAAAAAGCACCACAAATTTCCTTTAGGTCCAAACTAACTTTAAAGCTCCTTCTACACCACTTCTATAGCAATTCCAGAAAGGGTCTTCAATAATGTTATGATCATTTATTTGATTACATTCAACAACCTCTTCCAACATGTGTGGATTTGATAAAAGTCAGTTGTTTTTTTTCCCCATCCGGTGCACACTGACAGTTTCAGGTCAGAGTGCTGAGAATCGTGTGATTTTAGGACGTTGTGTACAGGACACTGTGATCGAGGCTGTAGAATGCCTGCCCTATGTTTTGGATCTGAACCCCTGTGAATAGTTTGAGGGGTACCTTAACGTGAAAGTGACACAGACAAAACAAAGTTCCAAAAAGTGAAATATTGTTCAATATGCAATTTGAACAAAAGTGGTAACAGACAAGAAGAGGCCACTTTGCGCACCTAACTCATGGAGTAGCTAGGACCCGTTCTCTTTCAGCCTCTTCATGAAGGGTATCAGCTTCAGGAACACCACAGGGAAGGTTGCTCTATGCCCCTACCACCGTTTGCATAAAGATGACCTTCTTTTCTTGGTCGTAAACGCACTACTACATAGCTTCTACTTGTGTTGTGTGGAGAAAATGAAATACATGCTTCCATTTCAGACTCTTAGCCAAATGATGAAATGGCTCTGCACCACTGCTTGCTATACAAGTCCCGCAGTGCTGGATCCTGAGTTTGGCCACTTTTGTTTACTGACAGAGAAGGATATGGAACTTAAACAGATGTGATAGAAGTTAACTTTTTTAGGATTCGGGCAGGATATGTTCTTTGACCTGAATTTTTTTTTTCACATTTGTGCTGTGGGCATGATTTCCAAAAACCTTGACAGACGATCCAGGCAGTTGTATCTTTAACCTTAATGAATTGATTTTTCATTCACACACAGGGTGATTTTATTAGGCAAGAGCCTTACAGTGCTTACAGAGAATAGCAAATCAATAGAAGGGACCTTGATTATCTAGGTCTGGCACCAAAATTCTATGAGCAGAATATTTCATTCTTCAAAAGTTATCCTTAAATATCCTACAGGAGTGCCAGTTAAATCTCAGAGGTCCACACATTTGATCCCAAAAAACAGTTTGTGAGCCAGTAAAGGTCTTTGGTCAATATTGGCAAAATGTTATCTACAATTTTTTTTTTTAAATATAAATATTTCAAACCTGAAACACGATTTACAGGCCGAAAACAATTGTGACAAGACGGAAAGAAATACAAGTCTCAATGCAAGACCGTGCTCATGAAGCAAGCCCGGCTGTGCTCAGTGACAGCTCTGCACGGAGGTACCTGCACGAGTAAACGTGTCTCTTCCGGATGCTTCTTCTGAAAAAGCCCTTGCACCCGTCGCAGCTCGACGCCCCGTAGTGCTTCCCCGTGGCTCGGTCCCCGCAGATGGAGCAGAGCGAGCTCAGACCACTCTCGGGCGTGTCCATGGCCGCGGGTTCGACAGGAACGGGGTCTGGGGAGGAGGGGGGGTTAGAGAAGAAAACCGGCGGTGGGGACCCCAGCGCAGCGCCGCGTACGGGTTCGGGCACAACTCATTCTGCACCACCTGCCGCCCGGCAACACCACTTGCAACTCTTCGCAACACCGAGCAGCAGAGCGGCCAGGCTCAGCACCCGTATGCTACAACAAAGTTCCTGAACACTTCAAATGCCAAAGAATTACTGGACATTCACAGAATGCGTCTCCCGGCTCCCTGTACTGGCACAGGACAAACTTGAAAGACAGGGTGTTTAAACGCGCGCTTAAACAGCTGATTAACGAACAGAAGAGTCAGGGCACCTCTGGGAGTGATCCAATTAAAACAGGGGTAGGCACATCGCAAGTCCACTCCCAGCCACACCGTGCTGCCAGGATTAATTATTATTTGATTGCTAATTTTGTCAGCTGCGGTCTCACCAGCAGGCTAATGAGCGGTTTGGCTTTGGCAGAGAATTCTTATGTGCGGTGGACTCGCACATTTTTCTGACTGTGCAGTGTCGCTGTTTACGCAGAAGAAGATCACTCCAGCTGTTCAGCGAACCTCTGAAACACAGCTAATTTCATTCACCGATTTATTTAATTACTACTCAATTGCCGTGTCTAGTACAAGTGTTTTTGGAGCCACGGAGTTGCATTTTAAAGAAACGGACAAATGCGAAACTGACACCAGCATATAGTACAGCGCAAAAACATACAGCTCCCAGACCTACATCGTGCTTAAACAACTCACCACTGGTCACAATTAATGGGAACTGACATCCTGCAAAGAAAAACTATACATAACCACATACTGTACTTTGCTTATGCAAATATATACTGTATATATATCCATTTCAAAAGGAAATATAACATTGGAAATGTTACATTGTCCATTACTGACACTTCAGCTGTCTTTAAAAAAAGTGTCAAATTTCCCTCCTCCATCAGGAGGGTGCAGCCAGGGAGTTTCTAAAACATGAGCTAATTCTGACAGAAGAGACAAGTGAAAGTCTGGGACAAACCAGAAGCAACAATTCCGACTGCTGATCTGCTCTTGATCGGGAAGGGAAAGTTATAAGAGACACTGCAAGGAAAGTGGATCCGAATTCAGCTCAAAATCAGCAGACACAGTGAAATAGGAGGCTATACAAATGAAAGTAACCCAGGTAAAAGGAGCAAAACAATCAGAACAAAAGCCAGTTTTATTGCCTGAAAGCCCAAGGCTCATCGTTTCCTAATCGGCAGTCGCAGTCGATTTCAATTCTACCTTCATGTCTCCCCACATCAGAGGGAAGGAGAAAGCCACAAAGAGGCGGCTTTGAGAACCCGGCATCACGGCTGAACCTCGACCGTGTTTCAGAACGGGCCATCACCGTCGAGGAGAGCAGCGCACAGGGTCAACCAAGCCCCGCAATTCCCAGTGAAAGGGAAACACCAGGCAAGATGCAAATCAGGCGCCGCCTGTTAACCCCAAACCGAACCCACTGCTGACTGGTTTTGTTTAAACTCTGACAAACTCTGAATGAGAGCTTTTAAGAGGGCCCATTAGAAATATGTTTGCATCTTTCACCCCATAGTATACACTGAGGTAGGTGTGGATTCATTCAGGTCCTTGACCCACTAGGTAAGAAGGTAGGTTAGGTCCCTTTTTCAGGTCATAAAGGCCCATGGGGGAATGGGGGTGAAGGGCCACCATTTTTCTCAACCCTCCGACCGGAGGTGGAGGTGATGTGGTCAGCACCACGCTCCGGCTGGCCTGTTAGCCCCAGGAGGATTAACCCCCCGTACTCATTTGGAAAGAACCAGGGACCTTCCGGTCAGGAGCTAGACGCCCTTGTCTGAACTACCAATGGCTCCCCTTGACCCACGACCGCTGCAGACTTCCTCCAGCTGGTAATACCTTTTCATCAAGCAGGGCACAGCAAGCCTCTGTCAGACCGAGAGCTTCCAACTAGAACTTTCTACGGGCAAGTGGGTCGAAGTTTTGCTTTCACAGGTTTTTTCCCAGTTATGCATTTCCAGTTGTTCCCTTAATTTGTACATCTGGACAAAGCAAAAATGGTCAATTTAGAAATGGGGATCTGCCAGTGTTATCAATCAGACAGGTAAAGGAGATTGCAACTGTTCTGACACTTGTTAAATCTGGTGTTCCTCAGGGCTCAATACTGGGCCCCCACTTTTCAGCATTTACATGTTTCCACTTGGTCAGCTGTTAGGATCACGTGGTCTAAATGATAATTTCTATGATGAGGATACTCAAATCTACATCCATACCAAACCTGACACTGATGTGGTTGTCTCTGCTGTCTCTAAGGTTATCTCTGACATACTGTAAATACCTGGATGACTCAAAAATTCCTTCACCTGAACTGTGACTAGACTGAAGTCATGCTTCTTGGCACAACCTATTAACTATGTAAAACCAATGCTGTAACCCTGTCTGTGGATGGTACAGATGGTACTGTACTGAAGTTTCAATCAAAATTTAAGAACTAGGGAGTAATATCTGATCCAAGCTTGACGTTTGTCCCACATCATATTGTCAAAAACATCATCATGTTGTCGCTAAATGTTGCTGAAAAACTTGGTCAACACTTTTATTTTTTCTCATATTGATCTAAATCCAAATTGAACGAGCTGCAGTATGTCCAAAATTCATCAGACAGAATGCTGACCAGGTCTAGTGCAAGTGATCATGTGACTCCTGAGTCCCTGCACAGGGCCTGCTTCTCCTACACCAACTCTATCCCTAAAGACATCAGAGTATCACCTTCACTGTGCTTCTTTCTTCCAAGGGCTTTTACTTAACTGGTTCTGTGAGCCCCTTGGCTTAAATGTCTACTGTATTCTATACTCCCATCTACTATCACCTTTCAATGTGTTTTTTGTTGTTCTGTAAAGCACATTGAGAAGCCACATTTAAAGGCTCTATATAGAAATTATTATTATTATTCTGTGGGTTTGTTCATTTATAATAAAAAGAGATGTAAAACAACTGTAATATTGTTTTTTTACAATTTAAACTAACACTATGTAAAATATCGTTTTTTGTTAATATTACTAAACAAATTTGAGCATTAAAACCTACAAAAGATGTCCTAGAAGAAATATGAGAAATGTACTGCAGTACTGTTAAAGAACCGAAAGTTAATTTTTTAACCCTGTTAAATAATAAGAATTGAACTTTGCTAAACATTAGCCTGAGGCTGATAGGATAAGAAATTGCTGATTAAAGTTGTGGAGAATGATTTAACCAAAACCTTTTGTTTTTTGAAAATGTAAATTATGCCCGCATAATTCCTCACCACTGTTACATAACTAGATCGATGCCAGTATTATCACTTATCAATATAAAGCCATAATTTAAAATATTTTAGGAAGGCCGGTCAAAGTAGGAACTTCCTTTATACTGGAAAATAAAATTAAGTTAATTGTGTTTGTGTTGGAGTTTCATTGTACGTAAGACCTTACGTGTGTTTATAACACTTATTATCTTTATAAATTTTATTATCTTGAAACAAGACCATCATCTTGCACAATATTAAAGAACAATGGAAATAATTAATGGAAATCATTTTCTTTTCTTTTTTCTTTCAAAACACATCAAATTTATTTATTAATGAAACCTGCTGCAAGGTAACAATTCCCTCCATTATAGCTCTACTGTTTGTTTCATCACCACCCTCCTCAGCATAAATATCCACAGATGTTTACTTTGGTTAATGAATTCACTCTTAGAATAACTGCAGTGCACTGTACTCTGAACACAAATGGAGATTTAAGGATCTGCTGTCGTTCCTGCAAAAAAAGACGGTTTTGTTGGCTTTCTGCTCGTAAAGAAAGGTAGGAACACCTTACCTGTATCTCCGTACAGCACATGCGTATTTTCAAACTCAAGTGTCGTGTAATCTGGATCCAACCCTTCGCTGTAATTTGGTACATCCATGTCCAAAAGGGATTCAGACAGTGTCATTCTTTCAAGGAGCCTGAGAAGTTCCTTTGCCCTCTGAGTGATGAGCACGTCTTGGTTACTCTTTTACACATGGTCTGTAAAATGCTAACCTAGGGTTACATTTCTCACTACCTGCCCGACTGTCCCTTGTGATGAAATGGGAGGAGTCCTGCAAAAGTGATTCTCGTTTTCCTCGCGTCACACGGTCTTTACTCCAAGCACAGAAACGCTGACAAGTATCCCGTCTGATTTTCAAAAATAAACACACTGTCTCAGGCCACTTTTGGTGGACTTACAAAGGAAATTCTGTGCCATGCACTTCAAGTCTTTTAAAGCCATACAATAAAGAGACACCTTGCTTGTTTCTTGTGAAATGAGAGCAAAAAAGCTAAATGTTTGCACAGCACTTCACATAACATACTCAAATACTGCAAATGGAGGTTATAAATACATCGCACACAAGGAAACAAGCCAGGAAAAAAAACAGCTGCCATCTTTTACACGAGCACCATATTCAGTGAATATTACTGCTAAAACTATATGCTGGCACTGTATCACTTTTACTGAACATACTATTACAGCTACTATGGACAAAAACAAGAGCAATAACAACAACGATGAAACTGTAGCTACAGTATCTTCTCATAAGCATTCTTTCCTTGTTCCCTTCATTGGCAGCTTGACCTGGGGCGATATTATGTGCCATGAGGTAGTTGAACTGCTGAGATTCTGTGCACCAATGTGCCCTGTCGGGTCATGAATGACTGAATCCTCACAGGAAACGGGCATCTGAAGCACTTCACTGCTCTGCATCGCATGTCCCACGTGTGCCCAATTATTTTGCTTCCTTGTTTTTGAGAGCGAAACCCCTAACCCACCCTTCAGAGGAATCACCACCTGTCAGTCCCCTTGGATCGCAGACACAGCTCTTGCAACACCACAGCAGGGACGAGAACTTCACATGCTTGACCCAGAGGACCAGTGGCACAGAACCCCGTAGCTCGGCTCCCCAGACACCGGACAGCTTTACCACGCCATCACTGGAAAACTCAGCACTCTCCTGGCTCCAAGGGGGTGGCATCACCTCCTGCAACAGGGCTCAGAGCCAAGCAAGCACTGCTACGCCTGCTCTTGCAAGCCATCTCCCTTTTACCAGCACTGTCAGCCTCACCGCGCCTACAGCACTGTCGATGGGGAGTGGTGTGACTCTCGACGATCAGCCTGAAAGCTCATGGCACTCATCAAGGCACAGAGTCACTGGCGTGTGACAGGCAGAGAGCAGCCTGGCCAGGGGGCTTGGCCAGCTGGGCACCTGGAGATTCTCCTGGGGACAGGGATCCTGGTTACACCTGGGCCAGTGACGAAGCCCAGAGGCTTACTGGTCAGGGAGAGACTACAGGGGCTCATCTCACTCAGGAGTCCATTTCTGTCTTAGTTTCATGTGTAGATGGTTCCTTGCTTCAGCTGCGGCTTCAAAGACTCCTAGTACCATAACTGGGCACTGTTGCCTTAAATATCACCCAAAATTATGCACAAGCAATTACAGTCTTTATCTTATCTGTACCGTTATTATGTGCCTCAGCACTGAAATGTAAACTAGGCATATATAACACAACAAGGAAAGGGACAACCCAAGCCAATCTGCAGGGATATCTGAAATCACATTCCAAGATCATATCCATTTCCTTATTCCTGGCTCTCCTTGAACATCCAGGAGAAGTGTAATAAAAATAATGACACTGCTACAGTGAGAACATCTGTATAGTTTTTTTACACTCACGTAATTTTTTTTCTCCAATTTATCCCAACACTAAGCACACAAGCACAGCTGGTTCCAAGCAAAAGTGACCAAATTCTGCAAAACTGTATAATTCCAAGGAAATCATGTCACTGAAAATTCAAAACAGGTTTGTAAAATAAGTCAAAGGTCTATCAGGAAGGAAGAGTTACATGTTATTATGATGCTTAACCACAAAAACAATTAATCAAAGAAAATACATTTTAAAAATAACACTGAGGACCTTAGGAGAACATAATGTTGACAGTCTTAGATCTCTCGTCCCACCTGAGAGACAAAATCCTGAACTTTATTTCATTGCCCTGTGTGTGAAATGCTGTACATTTCCCTTTGCCCCTTCAGTCACTCCCTCAAGCACCTGGACCCTGTGGCCTGAGCAGAGACCAGGAATGGCAGGTGTTTGGTAGGGTCCACGTTTGCACAGGTTGCGTTCCATGTTACAAATACCCTCAGGGCTTCCCAGGATTGCTGCTGGGAGCAGGACAGGGCTGATCTCTGACAATTGAAGTGAACCTGAACACTGAAGGAAGCCGTCCAGACCAGAGCCTGTAAAGGGAGCTAAGTGTGGCTGTGAATAGGCTGCAAAACGAGCAGTTAATAAAGGACAGTTCTTCTGAAAATAAGGCTTTCTTGCCTTTAATATGTTTTGCAATGCCATTATAATATCTCTCTCCCGGCATTCGACAGGACACACAGCAATCCAGCATGTCCTGACGTAAGGCCACAATTCAAGTATAGTGTGTGAGTGTGAGTCACTCTTAAGCACAGGGACTGAACCCAACAACTGTATTTCACCATTAAATTCAGTCAGGGTCAAGACACTTTTAGCATGAGGTAATTTATTTATTTAGGTTTAATAGCAGAATCACTTTAGGTGTATTGTTTATAAGACCAAACCAAAATTGTCCTCAAAGGAAGAGAAAGGGAACTAATCAAAAATCGTCAGAAAAAAAATTGCTTAAGGGAACACCACTGGATTTCCCAGGGTTGAAAATGTGAGCGTTCATGAGCAATGCTCTCCAACAGGGCTTCTGCTCTCTGCCTGCCTTAGTCAAAGTGCACAAACTCCCCTTGCTCTTGCACAGAAGCTCCCAGCCCTTTATATCTACACCTGTCTCTCAGAGTGCACTTCTTGCCCTGAATCTGAGACACATCCATCAACACATTGTGTAACTGCTTCGAGTCATCAGCAGACATTCTGTGCCGTCAGTGATTACTCACAAGATATCCCCACATCCCACATGAACACTGCTGAAGAATTCTGATTTTGGGATCAAAAGACTGATCTTCACAATTATCTTGCGGTGCTCACATTCTCAAAACTTATTTGGATTCTATTAATCAATCCAACTAAGACTTACAGGACAAAGTTCTACTGACACCAAAGTCTTTAGTAGTATGGAGGGAGAATGCTCCCTTTTTAAACATAAAACATTTTTTTTTTTAAGGAGTTAAAAAAAACATTAAAATAACACAAAAAGCTATATTCAAATATAGCTACAAATATGGAAGATGTATAGGTTAATTTCACACTGTAAAACAGAAGAAACAATTTTCCACTGTTGAGCTCTTCTGTACAGTAGGTGCTTACTCTTACTGTAAATGCCCAGTAAATGTCAAAGCTGTTGTGAATATGATATCGCACTGCCATGTGGTCATCTGTTTCTGAAAGCTTCTGGAGGTCACCTCAATTGCAACTAGGTATAGAAGCAGGCTACACACAGATGCAAGCCAGTCAGTATTATTAATCATGATGGGGAAAGTCAAGAGAATTCACAGGAAAAAGGCAAAAAGTTATTAACTTCCACAGGTTGGGTGAAGGCTATAAAAAGAATTCCATGACAATGTAAAAAGACATGCATTTGCCAAACAGTAACTAATAGATTCCTGAGTCGAACTGGACAGCACAATTCAGCTACACGAAAAACAAGATCAGCTGCTGGACCGTTCCACCCAGAAGTATGATTAGCAGAGGAAGAGGAAGCTTGTATGACAATGTCACCCCTTTTGTGAAGAGTAGGAATAGACCATTTCCCTTAAAGGAATGTGTTATATCCTCTTTTCCCAGTACCTTTGTTAGAATTGAGGAACAAAGCTAAGCACAACCAAGCTAAGCACGTCTCCAAATCTGCTGCCGAATGGCTAAGGGAGCAGAAGGGCAAAGCTCTTGACTGGGCATCAATCTCCAGACCTCAGCCCAACAGCACAGCTGAGGTGGGAACTCCAGAAAGCCAATCACCACTGTAACCCATGTCATCCAAGAGCTGGAGAGGAGAGGGAAAATACCCCTACTGGGAACTGCTTGTATATTTAATATATAACATAGAAGGGCTCCAGAAAGCTCCTACCCTGTTCTTAAAGCCAAAGAAGGATTAATGAGACATTGACTGCTGGGGTGTGGATGATTACAAACATGGTACATTGAGAAAAAAAATGCAATTATTTTGGACAATGTTTTTGCAGTAGTTGCAGATATTCTTCACACCCCAATTTCAACACTTGATTATCTCGATTTTACTCAAGATGACAATTCTGCACTTAGAATGCCTCTGTCAGCCTAACCCAGCAGTCTTCATTTGGAGCTACAGAAAGCAACAAACTATGTACAGTGTACTTTTTAAATTAAATGTTGGTGTTAGAGATTAACAGTGTGACTGGATGTTAACGGTGAACTGCAATGCTATTTTTTGGGGTTTAGAGTGAAATGGCATCGATGAGTGCGTTTCAAACTACAGTGAAAGTAAAATTTACACAGTAACATGTAAAACGTACAATGTACATCACAAAGTAGATAACATTTCCAAATGGGCAGCACCATGCTGCCGTCGTCTTCTGAGATTCAGAATGAGGCAACAAAACTTCCGGGGACTTGAAGCGGCCCCATTACATTGTAATACAATGTAAACAAGCGGACTTGTGAATTAATCTCTTTTCATCCAATAGAAATATTGCTCTTGACTTTGAGACGGTTTGTCCGACACACACTACTCACTTGTTAAGCAAGCAGATCACGTTGGAACATTTTTGCTGCACAACCTGAACTTAATTTACTCGTGCCTTGCAGTACATTAGTCATCGCAGTGAATAGTGAGCAGGAAGGGACACTTCATGTCGCATGTTGTTGCTATTTCATCTCTGTGTGTATTAAACATTTCACATGAAGGTGCATTTCAGCTGTGATATTAGACTTGATTGGAAGACTGTGATTTAGGTATAATGGAAGCATTAAAAACGGCATATTTTAACTTTTTTGTAGGGGCACATGATATGGTTATGCTAACCTGTGATAAACGTGATGGTGCAAATATGTAAATACTAATACAAACACTGCAGTAACTCACTATATAAGTTAAATATCAAAAACATAATGTGTTAATGCTTAGTAAATCAACTTAAACCCACTGTTTAACATTATGGAAGCTTGATGATGTGCTATCACTTCGAAGCAAATCCTGAAATATAACACACAAATTGAGTCCTGCTGAAGTACCAAAGGGATGCAGATTGGAGATAAATTTCCTTTAGTCACCAAGAGACACAAACACCCACACCTGCCCCCTAGGTTGTGAGGCGAAGGCATTAAAAATACTGTTTTGAAAAAGTGAAATAAGAAAGTTTAACTTTCTGAATACACATTTCTGTACTCACGTTTGCAAGTAAGGAAAGCAGAGAGCAGCCATGTGACTTGGAAACTCTTCCTATACCTTTCAGAGACATTAATGAGAACATAATGCTCACGTTTCAATGTCGCTGCGCGCACTTTTTATTTTTATTTACTATTTGCCAAACGGGACATACAGTGCATATGTCCATCGGCTTTATTATTTAGGTAATTCACTGTTGGGGAATTTTAAAATTCATGCACTGGCCTCCCCCGTCACCTGA